GAGTTCCAAACAACGGATGCATACTCAATTTTGGATCGGACTAAAGTACTGTACAAAACCAAAAGGCTATCAACAGTGGAGAAGGAAGAAGTAATGTACCGAATCAAACCTAGCATTTTTAGGCCTTGTGAGAATATATAGTTGATATGCTGGTGAAAATAAAGCTTACAGTCCAGTAGAACACCGAGATCTTTAACACAATGGGAGCGTGCCATCAGGTTGTTACACAATTTGTAATTAAAGTAAATACTGTTTGTCTTCCGGGTGAATGATATAACAGTAGTTTTACTTAAATTAAGTTGCATCCCATTAACAAGACACCAATTTTGCACTGAATGAATATCGTCCTGTAACAGTTTGCAGTCATAAACATCGCTAATACTCCGATATATCTTTAAGTCATCAAAACAATGTTAGTAAGATATACTTTTCGTATAATCTAAATTATAAAATATTATTCCCAAAATTCATAATTTATTTAATACACTTCTACTGTGATATCTAAACCTTAATAGCATTTCAATCGTAAAACGTTAGTCGGTTTTACTAACACTACAGCACATGTATTACCATCTGTGAAGCGAAGTAAGGTACAAGAAGTTCATAGTTTCCTCCGTGTGAAGTTGTGACAACTTTTTTATCGATGTGGTTGATTATCTTTGGTCGGTTATAATCTATGCATATTGAATACATCCCGTAAAGGGAACTCCTCAAGGTGTTAAGTGTATTAGACAGTCTTAATTTTGAACGAGCTTCATATGAAGTATTACGTAATTATTTACTATAAAAGGCAGCAGCTCATTGATAGAGAGGTTATCCGAGACAATTGTCAAGTTCAATCCCGAGTATAATTACCCCTCCCGTTACCAGACAATGAATGATAAAGACAGACTTCTATGTAAAGTAAAACTGTCCCACTACACACCATGTAGACGCTTGAAAGAGCGGTATAGCTCCTACTCATTCTTAACCTTGGCACTAGGTTGGGGTGAGTAGTTGGCGCCATGCCCCGGTACCCATTGGATAGGAGGCTGGGTGGTCCCTTGAGTCGATCTGGACACGAGGCTAGAGGAAAAATCCTCTGCCCCAGTCGGGACTTGATTGATTCATTCGTCTCCTTGATGACTGAGTATGACTTCTGAAACTGTGGACATCTACTATACTACATGGTGAAACTACTCCCAAGACAGAAATCTTCACATTTCAAAACCCTTAGATAACAATCAACTCCCAGTATGTCTCTGTTTTTAGTAACTCTGCATGTAACATCCCCCACAAGTTGGCACAGAACAGACTTTGAACTACACCAGAAGGATCTGATGTTCTCATACTGTCTTTCATATGAATTAGGCAAACAGACAGTCAGTTTTCTAAAGTAAATATATTAATGTGATTCTTTTTAAACATTTCAATTATGCCACAGTTTGTAACAGTTAAACAGTAGTTGTTTTTTATTTGAGTGTGCCCATAATTAGGGTTCAACAAAATCACTAAAATGAACAAAAACTACCAAGCACATAACATTGCATTTAATTGGTGATTTGTAAGCAACTACAATAAGAGGTTATTGCCAAGTACAAAGTAACATCATGTTAGCTCAGTTCATACTGAAAACAACCCTTCCAAGTAAAAAGACATACAGTGTAAAATGTTCACTGGTAAGTCCCAACACACTATGATAAAACAAGAGTTTATATTACAACTTTATAATTCTAAAACCCATACATTCATATAGTTTGGTCTCCTAACTACAAACATACAGTGAAATTCCCAATTATTGTATATGAACACTAACCTGAGGAAAACCTTTACCCAGAGTGAACTTAATAATGCCATAATTGTGCTGGAACTATAGACAATGAACATTAAAGTTGAGAAAAATCTTAATTGGGAAATGTTTAACAATAATTCCATCGTAAAGTGTGAACTTCATACATCCACGTTCACAGTGAAATAACAGTACCTAATTTGTGGGTAAAATTACAATGAACAAAAACAATTATAAAAAGGAATATAAGTAAACTCCTGTATGAAGTTTAAAACATACAGAAAAATATTTTAATTATGTCATATATATTCTCAAAGTTACAATCTAATAATTACTGACTACAAATAGCTGTAATACCATATTCTGCAGCAGTTAATCTGATATACCTAGCATGTTCATTGACTGAAAACATGGTATCCCCAGCTTTTTAAATGTTATAAGAACAACGTAGAACAAACTTTAATTAATACTGAAAAATCAGTTCAAAATTAACATTTTGTTTCCAATTTTCCAGGTTAACAGATCTTCTGTGAAAGACAGAAGTGTGATACCATTATAAAAGAAAATCCAGTTTGCCTACATTACTAATTTTCCTTAAGGATTAATGAAAATTTGAAATAATCAGTTTATGAGGAGTGCACAATACATTTCAGAACTTATTTTATTTTGTACCTTGTAAACCTGCTGCATGAGTATTGGCACTGTCATACTCCAATTCCACATATAATATGCACCAGCTGTATGACTAAACCATGCTACATACATGATCTTCCAAACCCCTTCAGCTCACATCTTGTTCAAACATCGGTTCTGCCACTGCCACCTTCAGCAGCCCAGAGAGGAAATCACTTGGAACTAATTCTGAGCTATAAAGAGGGTGATGAAGCATTTCCAAATATGCCTCCTCAAGAACTTTAATTGTTGTAGATACAGGTCTCATCACAACTATTTGTATTTGTGACAGCATTGATCAGCACACCAGTTCTAGCTTTAAAAGAATGGATTTTTAACTTTCTGAGAAATATAGAAAACTTTGGAAAGTGAAAGAGTATTTTCTGGTCAGTGCAGACGACTGTCAAATTTTCAAACTGGAAACTTCAGCAATGATAAAATTCACTATCTTGCTGCACATCTGCCTGCTTCATTACCATCTTTAAAAAACAATAAAACTGAATGCTAAAATTCATAATTCTGCCACTTTATCACATGCATGTAATACAAGTACTATGTATTTACCGACTTCAAGCATACATAAAAAATCAGTCATAGACCTAGAATTTATTGCACACTCCTTATATAAAACAAATTCATTCCACGTTAAAAGCGCGAGACAGTATAAGCAGAAAAGTTATAGCCAATGGGACTCTGAACACACAAATATTCAGCATTATGAGCCTGAAAGAGTTTGTTAATCCAGCTTAACAATCAAGGCAAGTCTTACAGCATACAGAGTTGCAACGATATACACATTATAATGGCACATGAATGACTAGGTGCCAAGAAGAAACCCTTGACCACGTTTCTGGAATATCTGACACGAAACCACAAAAAACAATGTTCTAAGACCATACTGTATAATTTCTTGAATACTCACTGGACTTCTGAACACACAATTTGTTTCACTAGCAATGCTGTAAAATATGTAAATCAAAATTAAATATTTTACATGGTTAATATGCACAACAGGTACTCAGCTTATGACTAAATCAAAATTACTAACCTAAACTAAATAACATTCTTTACCATTGATATTTATAAAAGTAATATTCTGATTCTGACTGGCACTTAAAGGAGAACTGTACAACATTCCTGTTGTTTTGTAATATGTATCACTTAATTTGAACAGTGTTTCTTGTCACTTGGTAAAATAGGGACAGCTGAAGGACTAGACAATTATAAAAAGGTATTAAATAAGCCTGTATAGGCTGCCTTACATAACTTTCTATTCATGCATAAGCAAAATAAACCTAAATGGGAACTTACCAAGTATCTCACCTATTTCAATTGACATTTACTAATCACAATGCATAGGTTTCAGAACCGCTTGTTATATATACTTTTGGCTTATATCAACCTGATACACAATATACAGCAGTTCCTGGAAATAATTCACAAGCTAATTAAGGTGTATCACAAAAATTTTGGGAATGACCTCTTTATAAACAACAAACTTTAAAGTGCTCTGTATCTCAATGTAAAAGCATTTCAATTCCTTACATTCTCTATAAACTAGATTACATCTGTGCTTCTCGATACAGTTTTTGTATGCTTATTTAACAATAATACCTTAAATAAAAGGTACTGTAAACTTGATTCAATGTTTTTCATTACATCATATAGTGTGTGAAACTGAAACAATATAGCCCAGTATACTGCCGATTCAGATTTTGATTAATCCCTAGTTTATGTAACATTACTTCAATTGCAAAACTTGAGCAGAACTGAATAGGATGCCTTGTATTAAGATATAAAGTTGTCCCTAGTACTTTATGAACCACCACACCATGACATATGAGGAATGGTCAGTTTCAAGGTCCAGCCACTGTACCCCTGAGGAAAGAACTAGTACCCACCCACTGGATACAAATCTGGGTGGACCCCAGAGCTGGTCTCAATGCAGTTGGTAAGAGAAAAATCCTGATCCTGACAGGAATCAAAGCCCAGTCATCCAGCCTATATATAACCTAGTCACAATACTTAGCTACCCTGGCTCTTTGCCTTGTATTTACATCTATAATCTTTATGATTTAATAACTTTATAAAAGAATTGAATTTGCTCATATTTGTACTTCACAAATCATGAAAAAGGTTGACAACTTAAACTATATAACTATGGGAAATTACAGGAGAAAGTGGCTTCTAAAACACATTAATATAAACAATAAAATGTCTTTAGAAGAATATACAAATATGCAGACAGAAGAATTGCAGAACCTATTGCTACTAACAAAGACTTATGATGGGATGTGGTTTACCACCAGTACATCAACAAATCTACAGGAATGGAAACCAATAGTTACAAATGGAATCTACTTCATATCTAACAGAAAAACTAATATGATACTCTATGCAGATAATCAGGTCCTATTAGATGAATTACAAATTACAGCACAGCTACTAAACCTTACTGCAAACACCTCCAGCTCATACGTGCTTTTCATTTTTCTCTATCTGCACATTTTAGTTGCAAGACATTTGGCTAATTTTGTCAAAATGGATACAGTAAAAACTTTTGTAATAAATCAACATTAACACTCATTCTTACAAAGCCTGGACTCCTTGATATGACACCTGTAAACATACATTCTCCAAACAGAATTGACAAATCCCAAGAGACTCGGTCTACTCTATTTCATTTCACATATACTGTCAACACAGTATTGTAACATTCAACAGGCTGTTCCTATTTGCCACACACTTTCCTTCTGCCTATATACAGAGGCCTCCTCTTCCAGCATTTCAGCATAAGGCAGCATGCAAATTAATTTGTTTGTGATTTTGTTGATGGTGTCAGTAGTGACAAATAAACAGGAATGAATATTATGTGACTCATCAAATGGTAAAGTTAGTTTATTTTTTATTTATAGTATACTTTCCAATGCATCCAGCATCTCAAGACTAGTGTCAAGGCACCAGAAGAAGAAGATAACAGTGAGTGTTGATGAAATACTCTTGGACTACAAGCCACATCAGGTGGCTGAATGGCAAGCAAACCAACTTATAGTGTTATAAAAGTACTACCCATGAAGTTTATACCAAATCAGAACAAGCATGACTTTTTCAGTAAGACAGCACAACTTCCCAGGCTGCATATGTCACAGGAATTTACTAAACTCACGTGGACTGTAATAATATGGCAAATAAGTGAGGCCTGATATTGTATCATAATGTATTATCAAATGGTACTCCATCCTTGGCACACGTACTGAATGTGGAATCACCTCCATATTCAGCATGAAGACTGGTACAGGCTTCTAAAGCATGACACCAAAGCTCTTATTCCAATTTACACTGTGGCAAGCTTCCAGAATAGTCACCATTATGATATGTTTTGTTTATGTGGCAGACTTGGGAAAGTCGTACTTCACAAATATGTCTGGAAATGTATTCCAAGAATAAAAGTTTCTCTCAAAATAAAATCAATGCATTATTTGTTTAACCCTTTCAGACTCAGTACCCTCACTGAGCAGCTTATTTGCCAGGTAAGGTTTTTGCATCATATTACCTTTTCATATTCATGCCACAATCATTTGCATCTCACAGGTTTGGTAAAACAATTTCAAAATTACAGTTGTCCATGCAATGAAGTACAATGATTTAAATTACAAATATAATAATTCTTGCTGAAATGTGTACTGTTGTTCAGGATAAAATAGTGCTGCTGACAATTTCAGATTAGTAGCTTAAAATATAGCCACATGATACTGGAGTCTATTGTTAAAATTCCCTCTCCATTATATGCCATAGGAAAGGAAAGAGAAATGTTTAATAACACCATAACCAGATGCACCACACCACAATATAACACACCACAGAAAAGTTTCTACATCATTATAAAAAAGTAAAACACTTGAGAAACTAATATTTCTTAACAATATCTGCACAATTTTTAACAAGTGCGGGCACAGTTATTAAAAACCATGAATACACAAGTGAAATACATAATCTGAGTTTTTAAAGGGTTATTTAAGATTAAGGTAAAGCTGTCCCTGGTGCATAACTAAGCATCATATCATGCTGATGTATGGGGGAGTAGAGGTATAGCCCCACACATTAACTCCAGCTGTAGACAGAGAATAGTGGCCAATTTCATGATGTGGCCACTTTACCCCCAATACAAGAATCACAGCACCCACTGGACACGAGACTAAGTCAGCCCTGCTGGAAACTGAACCCTGGTCATTCAGCCCATACTGTAGTCACTAAAGTAAGTTACCCTGGCTCATAATCTGCTTGAAACCATGCTCAAATAAAAATAATTCACTTCAGTAATAGTCACAAAGCTATGACAAGTAACTGTTGTACCATGGGTGGATCAAGGATGCATTAGGCAAAAGGAGAAGGGGAAAGTGGTTACAAAACTATCATTCATGACAGATAATCAAATGTTTCGACAACATCCAATTTGTTTTTAGACCATCTGTACAGTAGTGGGTGCTATTTCACCATGAGAGGGGCAGAAGTCAATTACTGGCAGATGGCTGGCCTTTTAGTCTCAGTTCCTATTACATATTTTGGCATCTATAATCATAGTCTGAAGGTGTTCGTATCAACATGGTGGTGTGAAACATATAATGTGGCAACTACGTGTGAGGTGACTGAGTAAGACAAAAGTGGTGGCATCACTTCCTCATCAATGTTTAAACTTTCATCTTGTACATCATGACAATTATTTGGTACACACTTTACAAAATTTAAACTGGAGGAGAGAGAAAAATACTGACAACTCATTATATTATGCTTTGAAGAATAATTCTCAAATATTAAAAGAAATTCACATTCTTATATCAGAAGAATTGTAAAATGGCAGCATTTTCAACCTCAACTGTTTTGTATTATTTACATAATAAAGTTCCTTCTCCTTTGTAATATAAGTAGAATCACAAAATATCCTCATCTACACTACTCATCAGTAAAAACCTTGCCCTCTCCTCTTCTTCCCACTACCATAAGTCACTGTTATCTAATTTTCCAAAGCCACCCTGACAAATTATAAATTCTGTTACTTCCTAGACAGTGTTTAAAATTATGAAACCCACCAATTTTGATGCAGAGCAACAAATTATGCACCTCTTTACTTTTCAACACAGAAACTAAATGACATAGGTAATTCATTACTTCATGAACTGCTAGACTGCATAATGCATTAATTGGCACACTCTTCATTCTCTCCTTACTGTATTTCTGTATGCTGCTAGCTGTCTGCTAGTTTTGCTTCTGCCACACCTGATAGAATACCCAGTCTTCCATAAAGGATGGCACAAAAGCATGTGCTCTGGAGAATTCCACAGAAACAGAAAGCTTCTGCAACTGCTCCTCAAACATTCTGAGAGACTCTGGACAAGAAGCTCCATTCCCCTGTCAAGTATAAATGACATGGACATGATCACAGACTGGTTCGTCAATTAGCAATGCTATTTGAACTGCAGCAAATGCAGTGCCATATGAGACAGGAAAATTATAATAAAATCTGATTCAAGCCATGATAAAAACCACTGCCTGAACATCTTCAATTCCACACAAAAATTGAATGCATGATTTTTGCAAATTTCACATTTCCTTAATATAATAAATGAATTTAAAAACTACAGATACTTACATGTGTCATGTACTTTCCTTCTGACTTTAAAACTGCCATTGAAGAGTTGAGGATGAGTCTTATGAAGTCCCACATCTCTCCCTGTGGGGTTGCTGACAGAGGGATGTCTGTCAGGTCCCCAAATACATAATCAAACTTGCGACCCTCTGTGATGAACTGGTTTAACATTTCTACACAGTCACCGACAATAATCTTAAAAGTAGACAAAGAATGACATATTCTTAAAACACAACCTCAAAATTAATATTCCATTACTTGTAAACAATAATAACTGTGGATGACTAATCACTGGTTATTTAACAACAAAGTACTGAATTGCAGGATGTTTGTGAACTGGAAAAGTGAAAGGAAGCTATTGCAGCCTATCTGAAGATACTATCCCAACATTTAACTAGTACAACTGAGGAAAGCCCTGAGAAACCTCAGTCAGTACAGCCAGTTCCCAAGTCAAGCACCAAACTTGGAAAGTTACACCCTTATAAACATTCATTCAGTGATAGTGGTGGTGGTGATAATGACAAAGACAATTATAATTGTAATAATAACAGAAACAACAAAAACTACTCTAGTTATGGAATAATTTGCTTACAACAGTGTTAAATGCACTTAATATAACTTAATTTTTATGATATTTTATTATGTAAAATCAGTAAAAATAATTACCTCATAATTATCACCCTTTAATTTGTCTAAACAATCTCCACAACAACTTCGAAGGTGCTTGCTGCAGGCTTTCATCACCAATTCATCAATCTAAAACAGCAGATGGTAAATATACTTTAATTTTAATTCTTATTTACTATGCAGAGCATAGGATATTACCACATTGCTAACCAGAGGATTCAGACTGCTCTTCAAGACAACTCACACTTTAAGCTCTAGTTATTTTATGATTTTGAAAATCGTCAAAAAAGAATCCCACAAACTACCTTCTGAAATGTTGCAAAATGCCACTGGCATCTTCAGAAAGAGATAGTAAAGCAATTCATTTACGAACTAGTAAATACCTGTTAACAGAACATGAAGAATCACAACTAATACCAAAGCTTGCCATTGGACACAATCCATCTCCCATCCTCAAAATCTTCGCTAAGACAGATCTTAGTATTATAATCCCATCTCATTTTTAGTCTTCGAAAGTGGCCTCTTTCACAAAGGTTTTGCCATTAAATTCATTATGAATATATACATACAATAACTCTATTGCCTTACAAAATAAGGAAAGTTGGCTAAAAGCAACACACCAACCTCCAACATATACACAAATTTTGGTTTCTCCTTCAGCAATTCCCATAGCAATGCTCCATCTCCTCCCCCTAGAATGACAATTTCCTTTCCCTCATAATTTTCTTTTCCTCGTTGCATCAGTGTTTCTGTGTAGATTAGATCACTTTCAGACATGTCTATGGGAAAAAAGAAGTATATGTTCTATCAGATAAGAATGCTCCATACATTAACAAAACATCTGTAGCAAATTGTTACAAAAAAGTTCCACAAACTATTAACATAAAATATCACAATACAAAAATTCTACTCCTATTCAGTGGCACACAGTGACAAAAAAATCAAGGCTTCATCAATTTATGTATTTTCTGAACAAAGTCTTTAAAATACATAATGGACAAGCTTGAGTATGACCTCCTGACCACTTTAATCTCCTGAACCAGTTTCAACAGAAATTTATAAAGGGGCCTAGACTTAGAAAGTAACAGGTTGATTTTAATTATGGTCCAATATGTGAAACTAAAATTCTCAAAAATGTCCCATCATACAGAAAATTTGTATACAACACAAAATATTACCTTCAATTAGATGATCTTTTTCCTAAGAAATTTCTGGTCAATGACATACAAATCTGAAGTGATAATTGTTTTATACAAAGCATACTTATTTAATTCCAAAAAAATTAATTTCTCACCCTGACATATGTAATGTGATTAGCTTTGTAATAACAGATTTGTATCTGCAATAAATAAATATCACAGCCAATGATGACACATTTTGCAAATGCATATCTATGTTTCAAAGCCAATTAACTTTATACATGTGACAATTCAGTGCAAGAAATGAATTTTCCCTTATATTTTTATTTTTGTACAAGGAATCATTTTTGGGAAAAGTAATAAACTTTGATTTAGGATGCAAGTAGTTTGTGTGGCCTGGTATGAATACAAATTAAATTAAATTCACTTAACTTTTACTGTACACATTAAACACCAAATTTTATCACAATCCACTATGTAGTTCAAGAGGTGAAACACAAGGATGGACACCAGCGCTCCAATATGCATTCATTCTGTGTATGGACCCATCAGCAGTACCAGTTGCAAACTGAACAATGCAGTGGCAAGAACTGGCAATAAACTACACAAATGTTTTGAAACTCAAACACTCAATAATATACAAAACTTACTTTGCAAGTCATCCAGGACAAGCAGGTTACCCAAACTTCGAGAGTGAACAATCAGAATTTTCTGATATGGGGACTTCTCCTCATACAAAACTTTATCAATATCATACTCCAATATACGTTCATCTGAAATTAAACATATCACAGTAACACTATTCCAGGACATGTATACAAAGAATGTAGAGTAACAGAGTAATCTGAAACTGAAAAGAAAACCAAGGCAGAGCATTATAACTAAGGCTTGAAACGACAGCTAACTTTACTAGTTTCCAGAACCTTATGACAAATCTGACCATGTCTCAGCAACTGAAGCCATCAGAAATCATATGTTACTGTAAATATATTCAAACAAATGGTGCAGGTGTATCAGAGTCCACAGGGTTTCCATATGTGTTATTTGTATCTTGACATTATGAATGCTCTTAGAAGTTCAGAATAAGTTTGTAAACATATCAAAATCTTATCAAAAAGTCTGAAGCTACTCCAGTCCACTGTTACAAAGATTTAAAAACACAAACAAAAGTTTTAAATGCTAACTATTTCTCTTCTTTGTAAGAGTTGACATGTAGACCTTGGAGTTTAAACTATTAGCCCGGAGCGCTGTGGAGTGCATGTAATGCCAGTCATCCAGAGTTGTGGAGTAACATGCATTGCACAAGGACAACAGCTCCTACTATGTGCTTCAATTTCATGAACTACATAAATTTTAAAAACATTGCTTTCAGGCTTTTGTCCAGTATATATATCAACAAGATTTTTAAATTATCACTGAGTAAACAACTTTGGAAATTTGTCAATTTTAAATGCACTGCATGCAACCAACAACTCCTGTTATGTGCTTCAATCTCATATCTTTGAACTTATGAATTTCACTTAAACAGCCTTTGAGATTAAATCCAGGCTTTAGTTTGGAATAAGTATTGATCAAATCTATCAATTTTTCACTGAGTAAATAATGGTAGAAATGTCTGACTTTTAAAGGCACAGACTACCGGTGGAAACTCCTCCTGCAGCAGGTTAGGGCCTCAGATTTAAATTCCTCCAAGCAGAAAGGTTAATGGAGTTGAATAGCTAAATTCACACTCAAGCTGTTTTACCTCCAGAAAGAGGTCTTAGTAACCTGAGAGGTCACCAGATTTGGTCTGATAAAATGATGATGAGGAAGATCCCTCTACCCTGTAGTTAACCTCTATCTTAAAGCGTTCCCAGTCTGGGACTTAAGTTGTGTACTCAGCCCTACAAACGTTCCCGGTGCGGAACTCAAAACTTGCAACATTGTAAGTAGACTTGGCTAGGTCTTTTGGCCTCTTTTAGGGGCTGCAAATATTGAATCACTTTCTCTAGGGTTCTGACAAGTTCAACCTGAGCTGTCAACCCCAGGAATTATAACCATAAACAGCAATAAACATTGTTATTGTCAAGTGGGTTTTGGCTTCCTTTTCAAACCCCCTATTCAAAGCTACTCACATTCATAATGTGTATCCACTGAAGTAGGGGAAATAAATATTTCTGTGTGGTCATTGTTCACAAATTAGTTCACAACCATGGCTTCTATCATGTCGAATGAGCTTCCAAAGAAGAAAGTAAAGTTACTAAGGCCTATTTAGGCAATTAAGATATTAACTGCATTTTTAAAAAACTATGTATTCTCTGTTCTATTCAAATAAATATGACTTTTATTTCGTCAATTTATCATGTTTACTTTAGATAATATTAAAGTTTTCCGTAGAGCGTGCACAAAAGTTTAAAAACCTGCAAAAAAAAAACTCCGTAGGGCTGCTACCACTTTGCCATTTAAATCCCCGTCGTTTAAAGGTTAATTTATTGACAGACATTGTGGTTAAAAATAATGCAATAATTTTGTCTATTATTAAATTTTTTCTAAACCTAATTCAAGGTTAATAACTATTTTGTAACCCCAAATATCTCCATAATCTGATAAAATGCATTACATGAAAACAGAATATTTATCTGATACAAAGCCCATCTTATTAAGCATGAAGCATACAAAATGGCATGACATAAACATAAAAAAGTACTCAGTAAACATTCAGAGTTAACAAAATGTTACTCTACTTCTAACTCTGAACTACACAAATATGACACATCATTTTATATTCCATTTGATGCTTAATACATTTCACATTGCTTGATCGACTTTATAATAATATTACTTGTCTAAGTGCTATATACAACATAAATTTAAAACAAGTTAAATATAATAAACAGGCATAAATACACAGTCCATAAAATCTATTAAACGTAAAGAAATAACTAGTTCCAAGAGACCTTATTTATCATGCACTGCATAATACAAAGAAATGCACTCACAGCATTGCAAATTACCTCAGGCCAGGCAACTAAAACTCACCTGGCAGCAAAATTCACCATGTTCCACTTAAGTGTAGAAGAGATTCAATATAAGGGTTTGACCCTTTTTTGTTATGAAAATATTGACATATGACACCTCATTAGGTTCAATTTAAAGTAAAGCCATCCTGCTACATGTCATGGAGGAACTGGCGGGAGGGAAGGCATAGCTCCCACTTGGGCATGGCACTCGATCAGGGTCATCATCACACCCTGGTATTGCTTTAACCCCAAGGAAAGGGCCTCCAATACCCACTGAACAGGAGGCTGGATAGACCTTAGAGCTGATCTGGATGAAGAGGACAGAAGAAAAATCCTTTGCCTGTCGGGGATCAAACCATGATCATCCAGCCCATAATCTGACACTGTACTGACTGAGCTACCCCAGCTATTAGGTTCAGTTTACTACATTTTAATTTCAGAACTTTCACACTCAGTCCAACATTGAAGTTTAAGTAATTTTTTATTTAATTTAAAAATTATCAGCCTGAGCATCATTAGATAAAACAAAAGTACACAAGATAAGACACAGTACTGTCCAACAAAGTCGAACATAAGCCTATAATGCAACATCCATACATGTCAGGGTTAAGTCAGAGAATTTGGAAGGGAAAATAGTAATCTGCTCACCGAGTGGCTACTGATGAATCTTGATGTTGCCAGCACAAATCAGATTCAGAGATGTCCAGCAAAGGAAGATCCAATAGAAACCCACCCATGAATGATTACCACTGATCAAGGTTTAATACGAACTTGCCCATCAGTAGGCTGATGACAGAACTTCGTGTCACCACTATGATCCAGAGTGAAAGACATCCAACAAAGAGAGATGCAATAGAAACCTGAACGATGGTATTACTAGACAACAAAATTTAACAAATATCAACCTGCCATGTAGCCATGGATTCCACTATGAAATGAGTTGAAGAAATCTAGCATGCATTGGAAATATCAATAGCACTCTATGACAAAAATAATTCAAGGCCCAAGTAACTGCAGGCAAAGTAATGGTAATGAGTGAAACTTGAATTTTTCACATCTTCAGGTGTCCTACAATACTCAAAGAATGCTGATTCATGAAAGATTCAACAGACTGCAGAATTCTTTGAGAGGCATCCATTGTCACTCAAATGGATGCTTATCCCAATGCCTATGATGCTTTCCTCTGACTGGGCCAAACACAGCTGATGTAACCACTCTGGCAGGTTTCTATTGAACTTCTCTTTTTATAAAGGAGTGTATGTAGACTTTCCAGAAATAATTAACAAGCAGTACATTAATAAACACTGTTTTAAATTCCATTCAAAGTTCAAGTATAAATAATATACTTTTTAGCTCACTTTCCTTCTTTAATTAAGAAAGATACTATTATAGTTTTGTGACCATAAATACAACAATGTGCATATTATTTTCATTGGTTTGAATTCTAGTACACACACATTACGGTAGAAGTGAATAATTGGGTTTTTACAACCAATAAGTGAAATCAAATATAGGTACATCACCAGTTATTAAACATAATTTTCAGGCAGGAATTATACATAACCACTAGTTAATCATTACTATGATGCACATATTTGATAAATGTACAAATTTTCAATGCTCATTTCTGCCACAAATGTTCAGTAGAATACATGGAAGACAAAAGAAACATTAATTTGTTTCTCCAGTAACTGAATATAAAGAATATACAGGAATTAAAATATGAAAAGAATGCATTTGAGAAAAATGTCTAGTTCAACAGAAAGTACCTTTTTACTCTTGTAATATTTCTGGGAAGCTTCTTAATATCCCCTGTATCAATATGACAACCACGCCCAGTAGGACCTTACCTGCTGTTGGGAAGTACCTATCGATGCAATCCCCACGTTTCAAGGCTGGCATTGAATGACATCTGTTGCTGATGAGTTTTTCAGCTAAATCCTTTTCAAGTTTTCGAACTGACTGTAACAAAATCAAGCGGAGAAAAACCAAAAAACAAATGTGAAAATGAAAAACAAATAATGCAACATGCTGGAATAACATGCATAAAAAGTCTGTTATAAAAATGCAGACATATAAAAAAGGTGTGTCAATGCAGCAACAAGATTGTGGTATAATTATCTATTTCCCTAGTCTCCGGTCAAAATAAAATTACATCAATTAGCCAATGGCATTAAAAAGACAAAAGAAAAGCGTGAAAACTTCTGTTAGGCATGAGGTGCCACAAAAATGATTTTATAGAAACATATAAACTGCAAGTTGGGAAAAAGAAGAGGCAACACTGATTACTGTATGAGATTTGAGGTTTTCACGCAGGAAGAGATTTGGATTGTGATCATATGGTTTATGATATGGGCCGGTCTTGTAAGTGATAGTAACCACCTATAAGACTACATGGCATCATAACTCAAAACCTTAAATAAATTGTCTTTTAAGAAATGTTTCACAAAAAGAAAATGCAAAGCCGTTTTGAAACACATTCAAAACAATGCATAATACATGTAAATAATATGTCAAATCCAGTTTCATGTTTTCTTGCTGCAATGCAGCTTCAATATGCTTATAGAGGCCTGAATACCATCAACAATGACACTAGATAACAAAATGTTACATTTTATCACTGCTACCATTAGCCAGAGAAAATAAGTACTGTTTTGAATTTTTCTTCTACAATATTCTTGCACTTAGTAATGATAATGGCGTCAGAGCAGTGACCTTCGCTACGTCAAAAGATTTAATTGTAAAAAGTACAAAATTTCCACACCGTGATGTTCATAAATACACTTGGACTTCCCCAGATGGCAGAACACACAATCAAATAGATCATGTTTTAGTAGATAAGAGAAGGCAGACAAATGTAATTGATGTGAGATCATTCAGAGGAGCAGATTGCGACACTGATCATCATCTGGTGGTAGCAAAAGTGAGGGAGCGGCTTTCAGTAAGTAGACGAACTAAACAAAATTTTGACACAGAAAGATTTGATTTGAAAAAATTAAGTGACGGAGAGACAAAGCAAAAACATTCCAGTTCAGGGAAATTGTCCTCATGGGAGACAGCGTTTTTGTAAAATTTCCAAAAAAAAATATGTATATGCCATGTGCTGTTCGTAACAACTGTGGAGCTGACAGCTGGGAAGAGACCGCTGGGGAGACCTAGACGTAGATGGGAGGATAATCTCAGGCGGGATCTATGGGAGATAGGAGTTGAAGGAAACTGGATTTTGTTGGCCCAGGACAGGGTCCGGTGGAGGGCTTTGGTTAATTCGGTGATGAACCTTCGGGTTCGGTAAGCCATCTAGTTAGTTAGTTAGTTAATATTCTGCAACAACACAGAAATGGAACACCAAAAGCAAATTCTTATTTTCAGAATACTGGGAATGGAATACACTCACAATATGCAGAAATAATACATGCAATAAACTAAAAAATAGTTTAATATACTTCATTTTGCTGAAGGAAAAAATAAAAAAATTTAAGAACTTATCTTATAAATTACCTGTCCCAGTATATGTAGATATGTGGTGAGCAAAAATTTCTTAAAATCTTGTTGCCACAAATGACAAATATCTACAAACTACTTATGATAAAATGCATAAACCAGTCAGCAGACCAGGATTACGGGCCACATTGGGGATGGCAGTTACCCCATTACCTGAAGTGGTCAGGTAAACATCCAGTGAGGCTCCACGCTTGATCGGTGGAAATATCTTGCTGCGAGAACTACAAAGTTTATCTTTGAGCCGTGACTCCAGTGAGCGTATTTGCTGCAAAGGGTCCCCAGGCATCATAATTTAGTTATATGTGAAAGAAAGAAAGAACTAGGATGGAAAGAGAACAACGGAATTTGAACACAGGAAATAGAAGACCCATCAGGAAAGATAGTCAGTGACCAGAATGAAGTTAAATCTGTGTGGGAAAATTATATTGAAGAGCTCTATGACAAGGCCAATCGACCGGATCAGATGGAGATGGAATTGGAGCCGGAAGAAGAAACAGAGGAGGACGACAAAGGTCCAGAGATACTGAAGAGCGAGGTAGAGAGGGCTATAAAGGATATGAGAAGAAAAGCTACGGGAGATGATGAAATCCCATCGGACTTATTGAAAGAACTTGGAGAGAAAGGAGTGAAGGTTCTTACTAGACTCGTTAACAAGATATACACCTCTGGTGAGTGGCCCAAGGACTTTCTGGAAGCAACAATGATCACATTAAAGAAGAAAAAGAATTCCAAGAAGTGCAGCGATTACAGGACCATCAGCCTAATCTCACACGCGGCGAAGATAATGAATACTGACTAAAAGACTAGAAAAGAAGATAGAGGAAGTGATGGGAGAAGACCAATTTGGATTCAGGAGAGGAAGAGGAATGCGACTTAGTAGTATTGGCGAAGGAAGAGGAGGAATTACAGAACATGATGGACAAGTTAGTGGAAACAGGTAGAGAGTATGGAATGGAAATCAACATTGAAAAATCAAAGGTAACGAGGATAGCACCAAGAGCAGAACCATTGAACGTTGTAGTTAGAAACCAACAGCTGGAGAATGTGGAGCACTTCAAGTACTTGGGAAGCATAATCACAACAGATGCTCTATGCACCAAGGAGGTAAAAGCAAGGATAGCCATGGCCAAGGCAGCGTTTGTCAAGAAGAGGATACTTCTCACTAGCAAGTTGGGCTTGGAGATGAAGAAGAAACTCTTGAAGTATGGAGTGTCGCGCTGTATGGAGCAGAGACTTGGACACTCAGGAAGAAGGAACAAAAATACCTGGAGAGTTTTGAAATGTGGTGTTGGAGAAGAATAGAGAAGATTAGGTGGACGGATCGAGTGACCAATGAAGAAGTATTGAGGTGAGTCAACGAGCAAAGAAACATTCTAAGGCAATTACACGAAGAAAAGCTAACTGGCTGGGACATATTATGAGAAGGAATGGGTTACTGAGTGATATCATCGAAGGCCAGGTTGAAGGAACGCGAGGACTGGGAAGAAGACTGATACAGCTAACCGACGATCTTAAACAAGGAAAGAAGATAAAGTTTCAGGAGTTAAAACGAGAAGCTGAGAATAGGTAAAACTGGCGAGCTCTTTTTAGGCAGAACAATGGACCTGTCGTCAGACAGAACACTCAATAAATAATAATAATGTGATAATACTGTCATTCTACTCTTTAAAACTAAGCTGAAGAATTTAAAGAAAGAGCTGTTTATAGGTAGTGAAACATAGTTTCTCATTTTGAGGAAAGAACACATTGCAGGTTACTGAGAACAAAGTAATTGGAGTATTTTTGGATATAACAAAAGGTTGGAAAAAATAACAATGAAAAGCTTCATAATATGCACTAATACTGCTAGGATGATAAAATGAAGAGTGAGGTGTATATGTAGTGCATGCAAAATAGGAAATGCTTGCTAAACTTTGTTCTAAAATCTCAAGTGACCACTCAGGAGACTTAGGAATAGATTAAAGAATATTAGAATGGATTTCAGAGAGACCTGGCAGAATGGTGTGGACTGGATTTAATTGACTCAAGATTGGAACCAATGGTGGAGATTTGTAAACATGGTTATAAATTACAGTACTGGTCTTCGGAGTTGTAAAATGCTATGCTAAACAGTTCAGTTACCATTTTTCAACAAACCACCTTAATTTTTCCTGTGTATATTTAAATGTGTTGCTGAAATTATTTAACCCTATTATAAATGCTCAAAAGTCAGACATGTTCATTTTACAAACATTTAATAATTTATACCTTTCATTGTACAATTTAAAAGACTCTGATTTTGTAAGAAAATCAAATGAAGATGCATAGGCTATTTCTCAGCACAGACACACTGTCCACTAAAGTGTGCCATGCCTTAATTTCAACATAAAAATATTTTCAGAATTTATAACAATACATGTTCAGTTTAAGCAAACTCATAGGGAAACACCAAAATATACTTCCAAAAATTATCACTTAAGTATTAATTCCTTATTCAAGCACCTTATTTTTTTTATACTCTAGCATTTATGAAATGCATTGAATTTAAAGTGATAATGTTGGAAAGATTTTTCTTGAAATTATTTGCAAAACAGTAAATATGAACTTAATTAATCGGTGGATAATTAAAGTTTAATTAGAATTAACAACAATTATAAAGATAACCTAATTGAACCACAATTTCTTAAACTTTGAATTTGTTTATAAATAAAAATTTCATGTATGAAATGTGTCATCAATTGTCTTTTCTATCACACCAAGGAACTTAATGAAAAGCAGTGTGGAAAACCAACAAAAATAAAACAGACCATTGTTGCTACATGTATTACCTCAAACAGAAACAGAGGCTTCTCCTCATCTTCCTTATAATACTCAATGTTGCATGTTACAAGGCCTTGTGGGAAACCTCGCAGAGTGACATGAATTCCTCTGTCGCCAGTCAGCAGCACAATAAAACTGCCAGCAAAATTAAATGTATGTTGTCTCTTCAACTCAGGTATATAACTTGACAATACTGCTTCCATATCATCCTGCAGACTCTTACTGTCTTCTGAATATATAACAAATGAAAAGTATGGGTATTATATGTATGTGAATGTAAAAAAATTGCAATTTTAAGAATAAATCAATACCAATTATGTCAGTTTCCTATAACTCTAGCGTTTCCACTCACATGGCTTACTCATCGCCCTAATGATGGTGGCAGTATGGACCTTTGAAACGTCGGTAACCTTCTACCAGACTACACAGCGCAACAACCCAGAAGACAGAAATTTTCATACTCATCGCCCTAATGATGGTGGCAGTATGGACCTTTGAAACGTCGGTAACCTTCTACCAGACTACACAGCGCAACAACCCAGAAGACAGAAATTTTCATACTCATCGCCCTAATGATGGTGGCAGTATGGACCTTTGAAACGTCGGTAACCTTCTACCAGACTACACAGCGCAACAACCCAGAAGACAGAAATTTTCATACTCATCGCCCTAATGATGGTGGCAGTATGGACCTTTGAAACGTCGGTAACCTTCTACCAGACTACACAGCGCAACAACCCAGAAGACAGAAATTTTCATACTCATCGCCCTAATGATGGTGGCAGTATGGACCTTTGAAACGTCGGTAACCTTCTACCAGACTACACAGCGCAACAACCCAGAAGACAGAAATTTTCATACTCATCGCCCTAATGATGGTGGCAGTATGGACCTTTGAAACGTCGGTAACCTTCTACCAGACTACACAGCGCAACAACCCAGAAGACAGAAATTTTCATACTCATCGCCCTAATGATGGTGGCAGTATGGACCTTTGAAACGTCGGTAACCTTCTACCAGACTACACAGCGCAACAACCCAGAAGACAGAAATTTTCATACTCATCGCCCTAATGATGGTGGCAGTATGGACCTTTGAAACGTCGGTAACCTTCTACCAGACTACACAGCGCAACAACCCGGAAGACAGCCATTTTTCTATGACCATCTTCCTTTGACTGTCTTCGTATGAATATAGAAACTATCCAACCCTATGAAAATTGCATTGCTTACACCAGAATTCAATAAATCCAAAACACTAAGTCCTACATCAACAAATTTCAATGTGGTACTTTGTTTATTTAACAATACTTCCTACTGTTCATATTACGAAGCACTGAATAACAGGGTGAGTAGTGAATAACAAATTATAACAGCTGTGGAAGAATGCAATAATGGTGTAATTTAAAGGCACTACCAGCACATCCATGTCGGGACTGACAGAAACCAGCCAGAATAGCCAAAATTTGAACCCAAGACCTCCTAATTCAATGCAGGAATGATAACCACTTGACTGCCTATGTTTAGTGTGGTACTTGGTTTTTGCTGGAGTACTGTTCTACATTCTTGCATAAAACAATTTTAAATTCATGGGCTGGTAAGTCAGGTTTCAACACCCACACTACAGTTCCACATGATAGCAAAACCATAAAGAACCCTTTCTGATCAGTTGCACTCACTTCACATTATAGAGGCTCTGTTTATGATTGTTACTGTAAGTACCTTGCACAAATAAGTAATAAATGATACATTGTACATGGGCTAGAGTCTTTAACAAAAAGTCTAATTTTGTCATACATGAAATGTATACTTAGTCGTCATTCTTCTTTCAGACAAAATTTGTTAAACATATGGGCTGACACTATCTTGGTATTTTTAATACAAAATCTGTTAACTAGCATAATGAAACTGTCCAGAATATGAATGCCAGTTTTGAGCATAACTGTCCTCTGTTTCTAGCTCACTGTAAATTAAAGTGAATCGGAAAAGTGTTTACTGCAGGTAACTTTTATTAAGTATATTTCTGATACCAAACAATGGTCAAAACAGACACTGCTTTCTACCATTTCTAGATTTGTTTACAAATGACAGCTAATTTGCATTACAAAAAATCAGAAATGTTTTCCTAGTATAATGCTTGCAAATCAGGCATTAAAAGAGTGAAGACTCATACTTAAAGTGTCTGTATTTTCACAAGAGGGCATTTAGTTATTTTGTGTTAAAATAATAAAAGTTTACATGTCATTAGAGAATTTGCTCATTATGGTTATTCCAACTGCCCACCATATTCAGGTAACCTGTAGTCCTCAAGACGGGTGTTCAACCTCCATGTTAAGATGCTTCATACATTCCATCAGTGTTTTCATTTTTAAAGTTGTGGTGCTGTCTGAAACAAAACTTCAGATGAAAAATGTTTTAGACTGCACCACAACTTAAAGTAACTCAACCTCTGTGCCGCATGCAATGCTTTTAACTTCATTACATAAAATGTTTAAGTATTTTAAGTGTGCACTTGACAAGGCATAGGGATAAAACAAGAAGTTCTAGGAAAAAATTATGCCTTCTATATTGTTGTTAATGCTGACAGGGTGCACAATGTTTTCACAGAGTTACAACATGTACCAACAGACATCTACTGTTGTGCTACCAAAGCTACAACAATGTTCTTTCTTTATTTACACATTTTATATTATTCTATCACATCCAAATGAGATATCTTAATAAAAGGTAAAGTAACATAAAGTAAGCTAAATTTAATTTAATTTACATTTATGTTGGATCTAGAAAACACAAGCAAAACAAAGAGTATAAAAACATTTCAGCAGTATAAAATGTTAAGTCAACACATCCAAAAGGCTCAAATATGAGGACACTATTGTAAATCTCATCTAATTTGAGACCTATTACCTGTTCATTGATTTCTAAACTATCTGAAAATCCTTCTAAATTCAGATGGTTAAAACCACCTCAGAAAGTAATGTACAGTGGAAAATTGTTCTAACCTGCACTTGTAAGTTTTGTTGATGTCACAGAGAAATCTAGAAGAACTGTGTTCACGGCCATTGCACACAGAATGTAAAGTTCTTGACTTTATGTGTAATACTGTAAGACTTATAGCTTCTAGTTCAAGCCTAAAAGAAGAAATGAACACTGTTATAACTAAACTTTTACCATTAATTGTATAACACCCTCATTATCGCATAGTAAAAAAACCTTTCTTAGCATATACAGTTCAATAACGATGCTCAGGCAACTAAAAGGTTAATAGGTTTAAAATTGTACTGGTAAAATACCAGATGACATTTTTTGTTGAAATGTATTGCATGTTAATAGTAATAAACGATTACAAAGTAGGTGACAGCTAGTATGAGCAACTTAATTTGGTAGTAAAAATGAAGGAGATGCCAAACAAAGCTCCTGCAATCAAATGGGAATTCAAAAGTCTTGTGAAGATAATGTATCTGAAAATTTTCTTCTGCACAAACATTTAAATGGGTTAAGTGGTTATATTAGAGGTTGCTCGTCTTCCTACCATCCTGCCATTAGTTTTGCTAAGCCAGGTCAACTTAGGTTTACTAAAGAAAGACTAAAAAATCTGCAGATATGCTGCTTTCTTCAGTACAATGAAGAAGCTGGCAAGTTCCAGGGTAACTTAAATGAGTAAATCATCAACTGTGTTCCTATTTTGTGTAGTACTGATTATCACAATCAACTTCAGTTTGACAACAGACTGCAAAAATGATAAAACATACTGTAACAATCTTCATGTCCAAACGTTTTACATATGGCTTTAATATGTAAATTTGTACTTTTTGGTCATTCGAGGAAATAATTAACTGAAATAATAACACTCAATTAACCAACTAATTTAACAGTCGTTGTAGTCATATAGTGAGCAAACCAAGACGAACTGAAACATTTTACAAAACGAAGCAAGATGTTAAGAAACTTCCGATTAAATTAAACAAATGCAGTTTTCCAAACACCAGTCAAATTCTTTATTACATTTGTAACTGGCTACTTCTTCAGTACAGGCAGTCTTTGTAACCACGTGATCATCTATGAAAACATTAAAGGAGAAAATATCTGGATAAAGATTTTGTAATAAGTATGGTTGGTACGTTTCACTTAAAATTCGGCTCATATAAATTCTTTAATCTCTTCGTAAACAGGACGCCGGCAACACATTTCTCATGTTGCTAGGTTACCAAGGGGTGAACATTTGAAAAAAACATAATATCCGTAATTCCCAACTCCAAACCATTTCTCTACATAAACCTGAAACAAGAATTGTAATATACTAATATACAACTACACAAACTAGTGCTTAACCTGAATAAAAATATAGTACAATACTTCACATTAAAATTTATCTCTACAGACACCGGTACCGCAACGCTATCTTTTGCTTTGAGGAACCTTTCAAGACCACAGTGTTCACTCCAAAGACCGCAATGGAGTTCTCAGCAGCAAAAGCACAGATGGGAAAGCCACAGAGGACAAAGGCGATCCACAAGCGCGAATGACGCAGACGCTGACATTTCGATTACAAAGTCCACCGGTTACCACCGGATTTGTCGGGTATCTTCGCTTCCATTGTAATTGTATTGTATGTTGAAAAGTTGCTGCGTACCGCCACCTTTGAATGATGTGTTCAGCGCTGGTGTTGAACCTTCGTGTTCCATAATAATTTCTTCAACAATCATTCTCAAGAAAGGCATAATTCAAATTTTCACCACCATAAATGACTCAAATTTCAGAATACGAATAATGAACTAGGTACTACCAGTAGGATTCCAAACCAGCTACCAAGTTTATAAATAGACAGTGTTTAGCAGTCCTGCTTCATATTTATGATGTCTCTGGTTCAAATCTTGCATTGCAAATCAGTTATCAACAAGGCCTTTTATAATTTTCCTTAGTCCCTCCAGGCAAATTCTAGGGCAAAATTTATAAGTGTTTGTCATTATTATTTATTTAAATTAAATATAATTTAATGTATTGTGAATGCAGGATTCCAGTTTTCATAGCAGTAGGACTTCCAAGAGCAGCTGTAGTAGAAAGAAAACCCCAAATACTTCATTATTCATAAGTATCATGCCAATGCAGGCAATAAAGTGGTATGGAGCTCTCACATTCCTATCTAAACATAGTTCTACAGAAATATGACTTTGCTTATCTTCAATATTGAATATTTGTATAGCTCAACCAGTTAAACAGCTGACTTCAAGATGAATGACCAGGGTACTGTTTCTGGCAGAGCAGAATTTATATCTACTGCATCCAGACTCACACCGTCTTGTATCAAACAAATACCAGACCTCAGCTCTTTCCTCAGACATGAAGTGATTGGATGAAGCTATCACTGACCTTCACATAATGCTGAGTTCTCTAGATGTGCAAAACAGCATTACATCTATGCATTCACCCTACATATCATGGTATGGTGCTTCGACACTGACAATTTTCAGTTACTTCCAGTTTAAGTCTCATGTAAAATAAAGGTTACACTTGAATGAGACAAATCGATATTAATTTTTTTCAACAAATCTCAGTGTACACCCCTTGAACCAAATTCAGTCAAAATCAATTTAGTAACTACTGCTGGGATACTGGGAATGACCCGTTTTTCAAGTGCCTGAGCACTGTGGGTCCCAACTTTTCGTTGGCTCGATCTATAGACATTTGGTAGGACTCCTTGGACGAGGAATCGGCCCGTCGCACAGGACAGCACAACACAGAAAAATGCGGATGAACATCCATGGCTTGAGTGGGATTCGAACCCACAGTCCCAGCGATCAAGCAGCACAAGGCCCACGCGTCAGACCGTGCGGCCACTGCGGACCCCCTTAGTAACTACTGGGAAAAAAACATGAAGATGGACAGACATAACTTCCCAATTATACATTCACTTAACACAGTAACTTATAGTTAATTTTTCAGTATTGAATACAGTATTACTGCATAAAGGAAGAGGAAGAACACTGGATCTATGAAGAAAATGGGTGACTTCAAATCAGTTTCATGATGGGAATTTTCACTCAGAGACATCACATACAATCTCAGGCTTTTATTCTTTCATTCACTTCTTTACCTAATAATACACACACCACTCAAGTTTTATATAACAACTTTCTATCTACATTTCATTAAAATAATACCATAGTTTTAATTCTAGTAATGGCATGTAAAATTCTGTCCAATCAATGCAAAGCCAAAAAGAAAGACTTAACTATTTATCTGGGTTTACACTTGCTTACTGTATAATGATTATAATATATTACAAAAATCATAACCCCACAACTGACTAAAACCTTGCAAAGATATACTTTGGCCATTAGGTTACATAGTTCAATATCTCACACACATACACACAAAAAGCAGTTCACTTTCCTTACTGTATTACAACAAACAGTAGGCCAAAGAAAACCACTGCTTCAAATCATGTATACACATTGCCAACACAATAAATAAATATGTATATTATTATGCCCAAGTATATAACAGAATTATCATCTTCAACTATCACATTTCTTACAACTTCCAATACAGCCATTCATATTTAAATGGCAAACATCCTGTAGGTTCATATGCAACAAAAGGTTATGAAAAAAGATTTCCTCTTTCTTTAGAATGTTGAACTTCTGTTGTTTTAAATATAGGTGCGCTACTATTTAAACCAGTAGTAATTATTTGTTACCCTACAAACAGTGTGTGTGTGTGTATATATATATATAACACACATTTACTTTCAAAAATCATGTAACTTATAGTGAATGATCACTTGACATTTGTCTTGAGGTGCTGCAGGAATTCATAATAAGACACTGCTGATTCAGTACGATCCTCAATTAGTCGGTCAACGAACTTCCCTCGATAACAACTGTCATCCCTGTAATGTACAAATTTAATATAAATAAGTTAATAAATCTACTTGTTGATCACAGAGAAAACCTGAAACCCTGCAGGAAATAAGTATCTATAAAAAATTAATAGAGCCTTTCTTATAATAATATGGATTTATGGACTAGTTCTACAGAAACAAGAGTACTTCCATCATCTCAGCATAAATATAACGTTAACAATTCTTGTGCATTAGCTATCAACGCCTTTAGATTTTAATGTTAATATACATAAAAAAACAGGTAGGACATCCAATATGAAGTTTCATCAAAACCAGGCCAGTGGTTCTTGAATTACAAGATGTCACATCAATATTGACACGATTAAAATTGATTGGTCAGCCGATTATTTAATCCTAGAGAAAGATCTAGAACCCTATGAAAAGCAAACTGTTTTAAAGCAAATTATTTTCAAAACTGAACCAACTAGCAGACAATATTTCCTTGTAAATCAATTTCTGTAATGCACATTTCAGCATAAAGGAATTTTGATATTGCATACTCAGCTGCAATACCAATCAAACAATTATGGGAAAAAAATGATATATTACCTGATCACTTGGAGCATTGTTTGGTAAGGTTTCTCATTCTGTAAGTGATTCACAAAGTTTCGTAGCCTTTCTGACTCTGGGCTTTCTATCTCGGGTAGTTCATACTAAACACAAGAAATAAGCCTTTATAACACTGACAAGAAGAATATTCTCCCATTGTATGCAAAACACATGTATATCAGACAGAAAGATGATCATAAATACTATGATGGTAAGGGTTTGGAAGGAAAATTGCAAGTGCCTACTTCAAGGTATTACAGAGAAACAGCATAAAATGATCAGGATAGCCAGTAAGTCAGCTGAGACTCAAACCAGGTACCTCAAAACAATAAGTCTAGAACATTACCACATCTAAATCTGCTTGGTGGAAATTTACCCATACAAATGGTAGTATATCATATAACTGATCACAGCATGTACAAGGACTTCTGATACTTATAAAGATAGATAATCAACAACCCCAGAAAGTTTTCATCCTGAAAATCACTAACTGAATGTAAATGCCTAACCACCTTACCATTTCTTCTGGTATGTGAGAGAAGCATGGAACACCCAGAACAGCAGTGCAGAACTGACTGCTGATATTGTGACCAACATACATCATCATGTGGTCACCAACATCCATAAGGAATGCTCCATGGGAGTCCAGTTTCTCTGCTGACAAATGGAGATGAGGAGGCTGGGGTACAAGAGTGCCTTCAATATCTACTTCAGCACAACTCTGCAAGACAGAAAACATAAATTAAACACAGAAAGAGATTAGGTTCCATTATTTCCAAATATCACATTATGCACTCCATTTTGGGAAGGCAAGCATTAAAACAATTTTTTATTAACCTTTATCACATGGGGAAAGGTGATTTAAACCCCCATACTACGGGGTTGTTGGCCAACCTTTCACTCCATAGTCAGTGGTTTAGCAGTCACACACATGTAAAGCTGGACGCAAGGACAACAAAGAGTTTACTGACATATTCTTATTCCTCTTCTTTAGCACTACAGCCCTTTCAGTATAGCCTTGGCTTCTCTTGAGATCGATGCCCAGTCTTCCCTATTCCGTGCTTTTCTTCTCCAGCCTCTTACACCCATCTGTTTAAGATCAGACTTCACGTCTTCGATCCACTGGAGTTTCGGTCTTCCTTTCTTTAATTTACCAGGAGGTTTACTATTGATGATCATCTTACATCCTCTATCATCACTCATTCGGAGTATATGTCCAAGCCATTCTATCCTTCTTGCCTTTATTACAGCTACAATATCTGAGCTTTTGAACAGCTTCTCCAGCTCAATATTCATTTCAATTCTCCATAGGCCATTGTCACATATTGGACCAAAAATCTGCCTTAAAATTTTCCTTTCCCAGGACATAAGCATTCTTTCAGCTAGAGATGTTAAAGTCAAGCATTCAGATCCGTATAATACTATAGGTCGTATTATAGTGTACAACCGCACTTTAAGGTTTTGGTGGATATACCTTTTCCTGAGAACTTGGCCTAGAGCATAGTAGCATTTGTTACCCGCAGCAATTCTTGCTTTTATTTCTGTGAGGATGTCATTACAGCTTGCGATCAAGGAGCCTAGATATTTGAAAGACTCCACCCTTTCAAATTCCCTCCCAGCAATCTCTACAAACCCAGGCTCATTGGTTCCACTCGTCTTGTTCAGCATGTACTTGCTTTTGGTGTTATTAATCTCTAGGCCTACATATATAAGATATTAAATAACATTACTTTGGTTTCTACACCACAGCCCTTGCATTTCAATAATGTCGTGCAATATTTCCATGGTAGTAATCATTTCTGTTGGCCTTAAATACCAAATAAATAAAGAGCAGAAGAGTCACTTCTTCTAAATCAGATAACTCTCATATATAGCACAAAATTGATTAAGAGTCATTTAATTGCTAGCATATTTTATTCAATAAACATCTGCAAAAATTCTGCACACAAAATAAATTTACCTTGTCATCCAGATAGTGTACAGGATACATGTCTGGGTAGATGGCTTGGATGAGGTTTGTCAAAGGTAGGGTCTTCATCTGACACATGGCAAACAGACGATCATCCAGCCGTGTACTCTGACCTGTTCTGAAAGCAACCTATAATGAAAACACATAAATATAATGACAAGAACTGAATAATGTACTCTGTGATGACATCAGCCACCAACTGCACATGAGAGTTTCAGAACTAATTTCCAAAATTAAATACCTTGCTTGCTCCATTCGCTCACTCATTTACAATCTTCCTTAAACAGCTGACAGTAACATAGCTGTCAAGAAATGTCCATAATATATGGCATCCAAATATTCATGACCTGTTCAAAAACTTCACCACTGGACCCTTCCCTGATCCAGCTGAATTGATACCCTATTTCTCTAAGATACATTTTAACAGTATCCTTCCACTGATGCCCAGCCTTCCAGTGGTCTTCTGACCAAAATTTTATATGCATTTTTCACAAGAGGATGAGAAAGAGTTAAAAAGTTTCATAAACTGTGAAAGTAAAACATGTAATGCCTAAACAAATACTGATACATGCAACAAAAAATAAGGTCTTACAAAATGAAAATAAAGAAGTGAGCCACATTAAAAACTAGTAAACTATAAAACAGAACACAATTAAATGGTTTGGTAAAGTGAAGTTCCCAAAGACAGACTGCTGTAAATGGCAATGGAATTTAACCAAAGGGAAATACAACCATACCTACGCTGAGGTAACAGTAGGTAGATTAAATGAGACAGGTGGAAAGTAGAAACATGGACAACAGAAACAACAGGCTGGAAACAGTGGCAAGACAGAAGAGGATGAAAAGTTTTTATATCATGTGGAACTCTCACAACATAACACAAGATGTGTTATGCACTAAAAAATAAAGCAAACTAATCCCTGTTTTTTTCAAAAGACGTAAGTATTAAATTGTCATACTCACATATTTAAGGAGTGCTAATATATAGAGAGGCAGCAACTGAAGACTGCTGGGAGTGAGCAAACTGGTAGGACCTCCACTGGATTGTATCAACTTATATGCAGACAGAACATCAACAGCCACATTAATAAATGCATCCCTGGCATCTGAGAGTGAGGACGTATGTGATCTGTCAACAGCTGAAAATATTCCGTAAGTAAACATTAGATCAACTGCAAAACAAAATTTTAATATTAACTGTAAAGTGCCCACTGATTTTGAATAAAAGTTGACAGACGTAACTTTAATAAATTCTGTTCCTCACATTTTCTGTCTTATATACTTTTAGGTTCTCTGTATACAGAATGAGAGAGAACCTTAGGAGTAGGGTAACAAACATTTTAGTTTTGTTCCACATAAATCTCTGACTCATACTTTAGAATTCTGCAGACACACTTTTAAACATCTTATGTTTATAATACAAATACACTAATTTCCTTATTATTTCAAATGGATAAATATAAATACTGTGCATCTCAGTGAAATTACAGAACAGAAAGATCTTACAAAGAACAGCAGTTTACCCATTTTTGCAAGCAGTCCAACTATACACTGCTGATCAGCAGAATATAAAATATCACTTAAGTTAGCAGCAACCGGCAAACAGAGCGTATGCACCCGAATTCGGCGTTCCCCTGAAAATACATATTTAAATAAAACACATATTATAAATTCACCACTGACTTTTCATAAACAAATAAAAACTGTAACTTTCAAAACAATCAATCTTAATATGCAATTTTTAATTATCAACATCAAAGTAAACAATTTAAGAATTTTATGCTCACTAATATAACTCAGAATACTAAAAAAACACCTCAACATTAAAAAGTTTTATATGGGCATGACAAATCTCCCACACTGAGGGAAGATAAGACTGGCATTTCTTTAAACCTAAGAAATATAAAGTAACAAAGAAATGGAGAAAATTACATAAGAAGGTACTTTACAGTTCATATTCATTGTGTATGATTGTTTGGATAATTAATCCTCAGAGGTAAATGACCCACACTGAGAAGATGACTATTCATTTCCATTTAGTTAATCAGTGGAGCTTCATCTCAAATCCACCAAACACCTCCATGGTGAGGTGATTAAGAACAAGAACAACTTTACCTAAATTTAATTCAACAAGGATGAGAACAGTGGGGCAAGCACCAGGAACACAAGAAATGTAAACAAACAAATTTTGCTTGCAAAATGCCAGAAAATGGCAATATTTGGGAGATATGTATTTCACTTCTTGCTAGGCAGATATAAAATACTGTCTGCTAAAACTGTCTTTGAAAGAAAGACTACGGTACAACTATCTGAAGACATTTTTTTAATTATTAGAATAAAAATATTATGGATATAAACAAGAGACATGACAATAACTGTGAAGGAGAACACTCAAGTGTGAATTTCTTTGGATGTATTTAACTGTACTTACATAAAGATATAGTAATTTCATACCTTTGCTTGAAGTATACAAAAGAGCTGCTTGGAAGCAGACATTCTGCAAATCAGACAGGCTTTCTTCAACAGACACTTGCATACCAAACCCAGCATCAGGATTCACATTTGGCAAAGACAATAAGTCTGTTGACCTTACAAAGAAATTGCCATGGAACGTATGTATTGCCAAACCCCTGAAATGACACAATGTAAAAATCAATATATTATCTTGAAATTTTCATTATACCAGCATCCTAAAATACACAATTAAAAACAAGATGAATCAAACATCACAAATCAAACTTATGGCTGAGTTCACTGGTATATTTTTAGGTTAACAACACTGCATATGTTAGTGTTAAATGAGATGTATGAGTAAAAATGATCACAAATGGTGGGCATGTAAGGTTTTCAAAGAAGGCAGTAATCATCTATGTGTTTGGACTGTTGTAAAACCATGAAGATCTCAATTAGCAGAGTGGGTATCCTGGCCAAATATAATTCTCTTACTTCCATGACAATTTGCATTGTCCACATGGGAAATAAACATTGAAGACTAAAAAAGAAACTTTCACTTGTATTCTGTTAGTTCTACATTTCACTCTGTTGGCAAACTCATACCTGCTGCATCTTATCCTCATAACAGCTTCGAAGCCAATCTTCCTGGTGAGGTACCGCCTAAAAGAACGCTTAAAACTATCTGACAGTACTGTGTCAGATGCCTTGAAGAGTGGGAAGTGGAAGATACAACCTCCTGAGAATCGTGATATACCCGCTAGAAAAATGGAAGAATTCATAGTAAGCAATTTATTACAAATAAAGTATGGTATAGTCTAAAAATATATTCTGATCAAATTAAGAGCCTTACTAACAACAATTGAAGCATTAACTATAGTTTTTTTTATTAACTTATGCACTTGGTTGGTTATTCTGACAGAATATAACCAATGCAGGAAATCATTCCAAACTTTTTGTAATATGGCTGTTCAAGTAATACGGTGGTTTCAAAAATCCAGTTAGAGGTGTGTGAGCAGCTAAAAAATATAAGCTGAATTCAAAGCTTCATATGGTTCGGGCTTGGCTCATGTTTTAAAATATTGAACATAAATTTTCAAACCTGAGTTTAAATATTATATCACAGCAAGTATGTTACAGTCCACATTATTTTTATTCCCATAACATAATACCCCCATTGCACAATATGACATGATCAACTAACTCTGATCAACCTTGGCCTTCATCTTATTTACTGAAATGCACATGCATAAGTGCACCGAAAAGAGCAAGACCTATGATCCTCAAGATTTAATCTAGATAGACAAATGTTGCCAAATCATATACAGTGAAACCTCGATGCATCGTTTTCGGCGGGGGTGGGAAATAAAAACGATGAATGCGGGAAAGCATTAAAAATTTAAAAAAAAACAATGTTTCTCTTTCAAAGTTACTTCTTTTTACCAAAAAAGTCTTTAATGGACAACTGGTTTGTTGAAACTTTACGTTTTAGACCAAACAGAGCACTTTCCACGTTCAAAATGTTTTCTTCGTCACGTTCACTAATATTAAGCGCATAAAAGAACGACTTCACTTTCACCAATGCAGCGTGTACTTCGGCAAAACTCGGCAAAGCTTCGGGCGCGCATTCGTCGTCTTCCTCTTCCTCACCACTCCAACCCC